GATCATTTATATTTTTGATCTCATTCAGTCAACACTGTAATATTCACAGAGATGATCAGTTCAAGTTCATTTCGAAATCCTTAAAAAACGTTTAACAAAATCCTCAAAAACCCTAACAACAACCATACATTTTTCACTGTGTGTTTATGAAACTAAAAATCCAATATGATTTAGTAGGAGAAGACAAATTGTTCCTAAATTTACCCCACTTTATATTTAAGCTGTGAAAATTGTTTTTGCTTTTAGAAAACGGCCAATGGAAAAAACGAACTTCTGAAAAAATCCGAAAAATGATTCATCATTGTGGCATGGTACATGATGTCGAAATGATTTCTTCGATAATCATATCCAACAACTAGAAAATACATCAAAAATAATAGTTAAAACCAAATCATTTTCAATAACACTAACATCTACAATAATAACGAACAATTAAAATTTTGTTTAATAAAATTTCAATAACGAACCGAAAAACGAGTCCATCATTGTTTCATGGTATATCGAAATGATTTCGTCGATAATCATATCCAACAACTGGAATTCCAATGAAATCAAAAATTGTTTACAAAAATACAATTTTTTTAAAAAAGATTATTATTGTTATTATTATTATAATCAACCCTTTTTTTGTAATTTAAATATTTTTTGTAAAAAATTTATAAAATAAAAATAAAATCAGTTTTTTCTTTAAATAAAACAATAAATGTTTATTCAATATAAAATTAGCAATACTTTTTATTTAGATTTTCAAATTTTACACTACGGCGAATTGCTTTGTAATTTCTTTAGAAAATCGAAAATCAACACTAAAAATGAGCAATAACGAAAATCGAAAAATCTTCTACATTACCGATGATGACGATGATCAAGATGTTTACAATGACATCTATAATCTTTCATATTATGATCATTTGTTTGGGGAAGATAATAATGATGATAATGATTTGAATTATGACGCCGACCGTGAAGACAATATCGATGGTAATAATGATTCGGATGATGAATCATCGGTAGAAATTGAAACTTCTCGGAATAATTCTGATAATGAAAATAATGATTACAAAAGTGAAGATAACAATGTCGAAATTGATGAATATCAATTTTCACAATGTTATGATTTAAATCTATCTGATTTAAATTCGTTGGAACTGGAATATATGGCAGATATCTATAAAATAGAATCGCCACAAACAATCTCATCGGATTATGATGATAAAGAATGCGATTTACCTATTAATCCTATTCGTCGCGCTAAATCATGTCCGATTCTTGACATTGAACTTCGTCGCAATTGAATTAAGCGATATTGTGTTTATACAAGAATGAATGAATAATTCTTGCTTTCGAAAATTCTATAATTTTTTTAAATAAATTTTTTCAATTAAATCAATATTGATTGATTTTCATTTTATAACAATCAGCGTTTATTTAATATAAAATTGGCGATACTTTGTGATTTGAAAAACAAATTACTCTCCTTTTTGCATAAATCGAATAACTCAAATATCGAAGCAAAAATGAATAATAACAACGAACAACAACAAAAAATGTTTTACATATCCGATAGCGATGAAGAAGATGTTTACAATAACATCTATAACCTCGCCTACTATGATGATTTATTCTGGGATGATGATTATGACGATGATGATGATTATAATGGCGAAATTGAAGAATTTCGTGATTATTCATATGATGATTATCCAGAAACAAATGATCCATCAATGAATAATGAAATTGATTGTTCACAATGTTATCCATTGGAACAAGAATATTTGCCAAAAATTTATTCTACGCAATCCTTGAATTTATTGGAATTTCAAGAAGATAATGATATAATCCATCCAATTCGACGAGTTCAATCTTGTCCAATACTCGACAATGAACTATACCGAATTGAATCTGATCATGAATCTGATAATGTTGATGATGATGATAATTATTATCCTGTTCAACATGTAAACTACATGGAACAGCAACCAGAAAACGAATCAGATGATGATACTGATTATTATCCTGTTCATCATGTAAACTATTACATGGAACATCAACAAGTAATCGAATCTGATGATGTTGATTATAGGAATGAATAATCCTTTTTTTACTCGAAAGTTATAAACAAATTTTATTAATTTTTAAATAAAATAGAAAAAATTTTCTTTCAATTCAGTAATAAATTCTTTTTTTTTTGGTTACAAACTTTATGAACGGAACTGCTCAAAGTTCTATCCTGTTGGTTAAAAATGATGATATAAGGCAGGGCTCGTTATTGACAGATGACTAAACCACGACAGACATGGATGGTGAAAGGTCAACCAATCCCTCCAAAAACACCGGGGTGGAAAAACTATAAGGCATGGAGAATTTCGATTTATGGATTGCTCGCACAGCATAATCTACATAAATTGTTCAAAGATGAATTCGACCCATCATCATTAACCGAGCAAGAAACTGCCAAAGCGATCGGCCTAATTATTTCTACTTTGGACGCAGACACCCTGCTACATCAAAAATAGCACCGGAGCTACAGGAAATTGGTTTAGATACGTAAGACCCAGATGGTATTATGGCGTTGACTGAAAAACCAAGACAAAAAAGATGTGGCGACAATCGTCCAAATGATCCAATCCTTGTTCGATTCAAAATGGGATTCGATTGATATCACGTTGGAAATATCGCAAAGTTTGAGAATACAATATCAAATCTGGAAAAAGACATGAGACTAAGTATTTCTGTGATACTTGTCCCAAAAAGCCACGATCCGTTTGGACCATGAATATTATCCTATTCATCATGCAAATGTGCCCGATCCAAACAATGATCAAAATGAATCAAACAATAATGAAGATGATAATCATGATTACATTCCTATTCGTCGACATAGTATTTGAAGTAATTGTATTTATAAAAATTATTTAAATTCAATCGAATGATAAGTGTGTTATAAAAATCTTATTAATAAAAATTTTATGTTTTTAAAAATTCAATAATTTTTTAATTTGTTTCTTGACAAAAAAAAACAACAACAACAATCAATGCTGATTCTGTATAAAAATTGGCAATATTTTTTTCCATTCCATTGCCACTTTCAATTCGCACGCTAATTGTTTCGAATTTCCAATTCATCAAAAACCAACCAATCGAATCCTATTTTTACAAATCCAAAAAAAAAAAAAAAATGAGCGACAACCGGGAAAAGATTTTCTATTTTCCGAATGATGATGAAAAAGATGATCCAAGCACTTTA